TATAACATATGAAAATAGTCTTTCCGTAAGCAAAAAATGTGGAAACATTTAAAAAATAAGGAGTCATTTGTAAAAGTAACTGATCAGATTCCATAGGCTACTCTTGGAAACAGTATCTTGTCAGATAGAATCCCTTCATTTGGTGGCTTTTTGCATGCACTTAACTGGTTCAATTCTTCTGTGTGTTGTTCTAAGAGCTCACCAAAACATAGATCATGCTGTATAGGTAGTAAAAAAATGGTAGAAGATACAAAGCTAACTTGCTCCATCCTTCATTCTGACAATATGCTAGCATATCTGCATTCATGATGGTCCACTCATCACTGGTCTACTCATATACCTCCAAATATGGTACACCAACAGGGGCATATTGAGACCCAGGGAAAGCCACTCTCTTGCACAAAGAAACAAGACACAGAAGAAGGCATGGATGAGGTACTCTGGAAGTACAAGAGGACTGAGGGTATTACACTGGTCTATAGGATTCTTGTAATCAGTCTTCAGCTCGTCAAAAGCTATAATGTGCCAGATGGCGATGAAGATGAGTGTGGCGGTGAGCAGCAGCGCCGGCATGTAGCAGAAGGCAGCAGACATGAATGCCATGGCCAAGGAGGAGGAGGAGCAAGGAACAGCGGTCAATTTCTTCTGTTTTCTAAAAGAGTATTTCTTTCTTCCACCAGAGAGAGAGAGAAACAAAGAGAGTGAGACAGGCTTTCTCAACAGGAACCCAGCTGGCATGTTCAGGGAGGTGAACCTAGGATCTTTCTTTCTTGCTTTTGTTTTTAAGAATTATTTTTTATTTAATTTTATTTATGACTATTATTATTATTTTGCTATAGGACACTTGCACATGCATGCACAGGAGATAGAGAAAGTGAGAAAGCAAGCGACCAGGTTTAGGACTCAAACTGCTGTCGGACACGTGAGACTACAGTGCCTTAACCACCATGGCACCTGCTGTCTCCCGGAACCTTTCTTATGTGAGTCTAGATACATAACCACTGTACCACTGCCTAGTCCAATGTTTGTGATGTTTCTGTTTTTTTATTTGCTATAGAGCATGTGTGCTTACCAGAGGGAAGAGGGAGGAAGAGAGGAAGTGAGAAAACAACTCCTAGGGAGGATGGCCATGCTGCAATCCCTTTTCCTCCATGTTTCTTTCAGGACTTTGAGTACAAACATGTAACTGGTCCCTTTCTCAGACTGCTGAGTTCAAGAGCTGAATCACATAGTCAGTTATGTGGGATCCATTCACCTTAACCACCATGTTGCCACCAACTGGCTCAGGTTTTCAAATTTTTGATGATTCATTTCCTCCCATGGTGTCAAAGTGCTGTTATTTTTTGTGGAAGCATGTGTTCATTTTTCTTCTGCTTCTGATGAGGGCTTGGAATATAGATCTTACATTTGGCGGAGTTCTGTGTAAAACATTAGCTCTGGTGGTGGTAGTGCAGGCAGCAGGTACCACTCTGCAGGGCTGGAGCCACTTGGAAGGCTATGGTTCAGATCCTGGATGAGTCTGAATCATGCCTGGTGTGCACACCTGTGGTCCTGGCTGTCTGGAAGGCTGGTGTGAGTGTCGCAGTATGATGTGACACAGTTGAGGGTACCTGTCTTACTATCTCACAGAAGAAAGAAAATGAATACAATTTAAAAACTCACAAGAAACTGAAGTGGACACAGTGAAGCACCTGAGTCTGTTTTCTGAGAAAGTGCATAAACCATAGCAGACAAACTTTGACATACCTCTGTTATTTCCTAGTTCTTAACTACATTTGGAGTATGTGATATGTTACTCTGTTCTCAACTGCTATTTTTGGTTTCAGTTTCCATTCTTAGCCCACCGTGGAAACATGTCATTCCAGGTTGAACCTGCCACTCTTCTGCTGCTTGACAGGAAAGAGGATTCTGGTGTGCCCTGACACATTCTGGTTGGGACCTTTTTGGAACCAATCTTACCTTACCTCTCCTGTTTCGGGTTCCTTTTCTTCCCTTCTCTCTTAAGCAGTTGTTACTTGTGAGTTTTGAGCATAATTTAAAGAAATACGTACCTCATACAAGACGGCGGTGCCCTCCTCTCCTGGCCTTGTGTCTCAAGCCATTGGATGAAACAGCAAGAAACCCTTTCCAGGTGTGGCTCCTCTATTTGGAACTTTATAGCCTCCAGAGCTGTGACCCAATACATGTCTGCTCATTATACACGACCTGATCTTGGGTATTTTGTTATTGTAGGACAAAAAGAACTCAGACATCCCTTTTTCATATTCAGCTTTTCTAGAACCAGAATTAATGTGCTCTGCTTAGAGGTTTAGAAAGTGTTGGGCATAGGCTTAGAAAGAATTAGTGCCCCTCTCCTCCTATCTTTTAATGCACATGCTGGAGGACATGTACATTCCCTAGAGAGACAGAGACAGGGAAAAGGGAGAAAGCATTTCCTAATGGGGCAAGGTCATGTCACAATCCCTTATCCATCAGGCCACTCTGTTAGGATTTGGGCATGTGTGCACAGATGCCTGTCATATTTTTTTAAGCTGCTGGGTCTAGTGGTCAGCCATGTGGGATCTGGTCCCATAAACCCTAGGCCATGAGCTACCGAGCCCTTTGTTTTCTAAGTCACTCCATCATCGTGATACTTGAGGACACATTTCTGGACTTCCAAATTTAGGTAGTATTAATTTCCTTCACCTGGTGGGGTGAAGTCTGGGCAGCTATGTACTTAATGAGTCAGGCTTGGAAATGCTTGGGTATTGGAAGGAGAACAAGATCAGGCTTTTAATATTTATTCTCTTCTAGATGACCATGATGATTGAAGACAGCAACAATGTGTTCTGTCCAAAAGTCAGGGTGCTAAACGGAGACTGCCAGATTCTGCCACTTACAGCCTCTTAATCGTGAGCCTGATGTTACCAAACATGAGTGCTCTGTATGTATATCATATGCAATGTGCACTTACCGAGGTAGACTCAAAGGGTACATTTGAAGCAAAAAACATCAGTGGACATCAGTCTGTTGGACATAATAAGAGAGTCTTTTTAGTGAAGGTTAATATACAATACACTTAACTATGGGGAAGGCATAGGCACCAGCCCATTAGAGGGGTTTCCCAGAGGCCCTGTACTGTGCCAAGTATTAATTCTTTTGTTACTGGATTTTGAAAAGGTGATAAGGGAACCAGAAAAAAGAGATAGGACAGTAACTGTGAAATAAAGTTATCAGCTCTAATTTTAATTATTTCAATGAGAAAATAATCATATTCACAGTACCAAGGATTATACAGAGTGACTACATGAGGTAGGAAGAAGGACAGGGTGGGGATCTCGAGGGCATCTAAGAATTGTGCTCACCATCCTAGTTTTAAAGGCTAAATGAATAATAATGTATCAATATGTGAAGTACTTAGCACAGTGCCTAAAGCCAAGAAAGTATAAAATAAATGGTATCTATTATTGTTGTTAGGTTATTAATTTCTCTGAGCCTTAATTTCTCATCTGTGAAATGGTGATAAAAGTAATAGATATTAGAAGAATCGAATGCAATAAGATCAGTTGTTACACTTTTTTTGGAGAGATTTTTGCTATAGTGTGTCTAAACTCACCAGAGACAGACAGAGAGAGAGGGAAAGCGAGACATCACCCATTCATGGGATGGCTATATCACAATCCCTTCTCCTCTATTCTCCTCTTGGAACTTGGGCCACACACACCCACACACACACACACACAGAGACCAGATATGAGTGCATGAGTTTCAGGCCACCAGGTTTGGGACTCGAACTGCAGTTGACCATGTGGGAGTCCAATGCCTTAAACACCATGCCACCTGCCAGCACGGTTGATACACTTTTATAATTGCAAAATATTATACAAATGTTTTGTTCATCTTTGTGCAGGGAGGAGGATGGTGTAGGAGAAAAGACAAGGTCTTCAAGGACTTCTTTTTTGTGTGTTTAATGCCAGAGGGCCCATTTGCAAGAGAGGGAGAGGGAAAGCAAGAGAGAGAAAACAAGTCCCCAGCAGGGCCTGGTTATACTACAATCTTTTTCCTCTTAATTCTCCACTTTCAGCATTAAAAAAAAAAAAATTAATTAATTAATTAATTATCTCTCCAAGCCTCTGGGGCTGGGACTTGAACCCTGGTCAGCCATGTGAGATCTGGCTTTTTTTGAGCAGTGTGTAACTGCTGTGCTACAGGGCCAATCCTAGGTCTTAAAGGACCTTAAGAGGCATTGATGTTTCTGGACAATATGAATTTAAATTGCACTGAGGGGTTGGGGCAGGAATAGGAGCTGGGGGGGAGGGTTGGAAATGTCCTAGCTCTCTTTTGGATTTACTAAAATCCATATCCTAAATTCCAAAGGGTAATGCTTATACCCTATGTTTTGAAGGATAGAGAATTTTTTGGCAAACTGCTCAGTGCCAAAAATGAGTAATTATAGTGATTATTACTATAATAATAATAACAGCAATAACATTGAAAAGCACAGATAACTTATATTGAATGCTTAGTCAATATTAGGTGTTTTATACATTCCATGCATTATAATTCTTTTATAATTTCTGTGGAGAATATAGAAAATCCCATTTTGCTAAAGAATATTACCTTTTCATCTTGGTTTTGTGTTCAGGCTTCTGATCCTCAGTATACAGTCAAACTAATAAACCCAACCTAAGAAGTTCACATAACTTTTATTATGTTTGTTTTGGTTTAAAACATTTAGAAGTTGCAAACAGGCTGATTTATTATGAATTCAATCATGTTGGTCATGCATTTCACTTTCTCTGCATAATATTTACACTTAACCTAAATAGTACAGGAGAGTTGATGCAAGTTCTTAACTGTCAAAACTTTAGAAGTTAATTGATTCTAGGCATTAATAAGACTCACAAATAAAAACAAGACTAGTAAGAATCCTTAAAGACAGTATTATATTTGGGACCAGCAGATGGCTTGATGATTATGGTGGCCCACTGCAGTACTGGCACCTTGAAACTCATGCCAGATGTTGTGTGTGTGTGTGGGTGCCCAAAAAAAGAAGAGAATGGAGAAGGGATTGTGGTGTGACCATTCCCCTGAGGAGGAGGGGGTGATTTCTCAATTGTATATCTCTGTCTCTCTGGCCAGTGCACGAGCCCTATAGCAAACAAAACAAAACAAAACAAAACAAAACAAAACAAAACAAAACCAGATAGTCATATATTAAGACTTATAAGCAATATTGTGTCTCAGAGTAAAAAATTCAATTCTCTTCAGACTTTCAAAGAGGATCAAGGCTAGATGTATCGCAAATGTAAATTACATTAAGACTGACTGCTAGCTACTGTAGCAAGCAAGAAAATAAAGCCAGCAGGAGCAATTGTGTCCAGCAAAGCTAGGATGCAGTCTGTTGCTTGCTTTGGGCTCCCTGGAAATTTTAGATAAGTTGGACCTGGAAAATATTTTCCAATGATGGATCTTTGATAAACAGCCCAGTTTTATTAACAGATAGCATTCATCCACTTTTCATTCAGTCTCATTTTAGGCAAGCTCATTTTATTCATTTTTATTTATAAAATAGTTATTTTTGCATAATACATTGGAAGGAAATAGATGAATTAGATTCCACA